GGGGGGGGGCTAAAAGTGCCCGCGCCAACTTTGATGTCACCTAGAATATTGTTGGCAACAATTCTCTATCCATGGAATAGAATAAGATATTAATTTTTGTGTTGCCATGGCAACGGGTTTCTGACAGGCATTTTTTGCTAAATTTAGTAATTTTGGTTTCAACAATAGAATTTTATGGGTTTCATGTCAAGTTACACATGGTTTCCAATATTAATAACATCCCATATAATTTTATGTTAATTTCACCATTACATATGCATAAATTTATGCTAATTTTATGACATTATTGGCCAACATCCAAGATGGCGGACCATATCATTACAAGAGGTATATACAGGTTATTTTCCTTAACCCTACCTAGAACGGGCTTTTTTTGACATGGGGGGACCGGGGGGGGGCTCTTTTGACCCCCCCCTAAGAACTCGCGAACGGTATGTCGTATGCCCACCAAATTTTCAGAGAATGGTGTACTAGTAAAAATTTATCTTATCTACAATTTTTTATGTCGTTATGACGTAATATGACGTCATTATGACGTCATTAATGTGATTTTATTGGCCAAAACCGTCTAAATAGGTTTTTCCCTGAAAACTAAATGGTATTCAACATAACTGTACCAAGAGTATTTATGACAGAATATAATGGTGTACTAAGTCTAATGTTGCCCATAGCAACACCGGTGACGTCATAAAATGACGTCATGCATATATAAGATATCCGCCATCTTGGATCATCAATCTTGAATTTTCAAAAATATTTTTTTTTCATGATAAAGCCTAAAATACATTGTAAACATACTAAAGACCTTCATTTAAACCTTTTTTGGAAAAAGAAATGGAAGTAGTGATGAAATTTTAATGAAAATAACCTGTATATACCTGTTCTAATGATATGGTCCGCCATCATGGATTTTGGCCAATGACGTCATCAAATTAGCATAAATTATGCATATTTAATGATAAAATTTACATAAAATTATATGGGATGTTATTAATATTAGAAACCATGAGTAACTTGACATAAAACCCATAAAATTCTATTGTTGAAACAAAAAGTACTAAATTTAGAAAAAAATGCCTGTCAGAAACCCGTTGCCATGGCAACACAAAAATTATTATCTTATTCCAATGATAGAGAATTGTTGCCAACAATATTCTAGGAAAAGTCACCAAGTTTGGCCGTTCTACGGCCAGCCGTTCAGACGCTAGGTGACATCAAAGTTGCCGCGGGCACTTTTAGCCCCCCCCCCGGTCTAGGTAGGGTTAAACTTTCATCAATGCTTCCATTTCTTTTTCAAAAAAAGGTTTATATGAAGGTCTTTATTCTGTTCACAATATATTTTTGGCTTTATCATGAAAAAAAAAAATTTTGAAAATTCAAGATTGGTGATCCAAGATGGCGGATAGCTTAAATATGTATGGAGTCATTTTATGACGTCACCGGCGTTGCTTTGGGCAACATAAGACTTAGTACACCCTAATAATCTGTCATAAACACTTTTGGTAAGTTACGTTGTATACCAATTAGTTTTCAGGGAATAACCTATCTAGAGGTTTTGGCTAATAAAAGCACATTAATGACGTCATCATGACGTCATATTAGATCATAACGACAAAATTTTAGATATGATAAATTATTACTAGTACACCATCCTCTAAAAATTTGGTTGTCATACGACATAAGGTTCGCGAGTTCTGAGGGGAGGGGTCAAATCAACCCATGACTTTGTTTTGGCCTCTTGGTAAATCATAATTTCCTCTAAAATGTCATAGAACAAAAAAATTAGGTTGGAGTGTCCTCAGAAAATCAATGATTTTAGAACATCTCTAGATGTCTGTGTGAATTTGTTTTGCGCCTTGTTTTCTGCTAACTATATAGGATTGTTGCCTTAGAATCTGAATGTTCTGGGTTCGAATCCCTGCAAGGATATCCATGTATATAATTTTTATACATATATCATCATTAGAGTACAGCATATTTTAGATTTGTCGCTGGGACCCGTGTTGATGATAACTTCCGGTAATGAAGAATAAGCATTCCCGTCACATAAAGGATTCTGACAGCCGCGGCCAAAAATACAGAAAACAGCCCGTAAACTACCCGGCGGGGCCCCTGTTTCCAGTTGTTATTGTATGCACCTGTTAATTGTCTGAGACGTGCTGCTTGAATATGGATATTGTGTTCTCCTTCTTATGGCCCTATTTGGAACTCCCAGACAAAGAATTAATCAGAAAAGTAGAAAAAAGTACACAAAGGTTGGGAATATCAATCATTTCTAAAATTTCATTAAATTAGCCATTATAGGACTTTTTAGTTACGTGCACTCTACTGAATAATACAATTGTAGAAAATCTCCTGGCAAGTGTAGACCGATAAGATGTGTTGCCATGTTCATTTTGGAAAGCTTTGTGTTGGCAAAATGGTCCAGTGCTGTGGAACCAGCTCACGATAGAACAGGGTAAGCTCCAAACTGTAACGGCCTTCAAAAACTCATTGTAATTATATTGTATTTGTACTGCTGTATGGCTATTATGTGCTATGTACTGTGTTGTTATCATTGTATTGTTTCTTCGTTTTCATTGTGCCCAGATCTACCTGAAAAGCAGGTCAAATAACCTGAGTGTATCTTCTGGTTAAATAAATAAACTGAAACATCAAGCCTTAACAACATATTAAACAGACTGTGGCTTTGCAGAGTCATGATGGCTTATCTGTAGTTCCTGATTTCAGCGCACATTTTGCCAATAGTACCGCGTCACCAAAATACAATATGAATATGAATAAAACAATATAAATAAAACAATCATAGCCCAGCGCCCCTGTTGCCCCTGTTGGAACTAACATTTTCCCAAGCAGATATTAAGATGGAAATTAATGAAAATATTTTCTGACGTCCTGACTTTCCGACAGCTATCTTCCTGATTGTCTTTAGTAAAAATAGCAAACCTTCCCCCGTCATATCTCCTCAGAGAATCAAAATCTGATTGCCAGCCTAACCTATGGGCGTGGGCCAGTGGCAAACTGCCTACACGGCATTTTACCTTAACCCTCTTGGTACTTGATAAATTTTTTCAGGTATGGTACAGTACTAGATAAAATTCAAGTTTTAGACGGTATCAATGGGAACGCCTTGTTTGGTATTTTACAGCTCTCATATAAACACTAGACTAAGAAAACTATATATTTTTGGAAAGCTCACAGTCTCAGCTTTCTAATAAAAGTAAAAACAACACTGTATCATCAATTTGAAGGCAGTGGGAGTCATGGAAGTACCCCAGACACAGACGCAAAATCCCCCCTCAAAAATTTCAATCACAAAAAAACTTTGCTCAGGAGTAAACATCTGTAACATTTAAATTGGAACTTGTACATCAGTCAACAATTCATCTGTAAATAGTCACAAAATGATGTTTTGTTGTTTACTTTAGGTTCTTTGGTACTAGATAATTTTTCTAGGTATGCTACAGTGCTAGATAAAATTCAAGTTTTAGACTATGTCAATGGGAACGCCTTGTTTTGTATTTTGCGGCTCTCACAAAGATGACTAGGAAGACTATGTTCAAATTGAAACTTGTACATTTATTCAAAATTCAATTCTGGGCACAGTCCAACATCAACATTTCATGTGCCAATACATTGTACTAACAGTAACAGAATGTTCTTTTGATGTTTACTTAGGTTCTGTGGTCGTCTGCAAGACATTCTGGGCACATATAACATCAACAATTCTGTGGTAATCTGCATAACATTCTTTAGCACAGTCCAACATCAACATTTCATGTGCCAATACATTTGTACTAACAGTAACAGAATGTTCTTTTGATGTTTACTTAGGTTCTGTGATAGTCTGCAAAGCACTCAGGACAAAGTCCAACATTGCAGCCCAGGCATTCGTAGGAGGTACGAACCCTTCGGTCATGCCCCCCAACGCAGTCGCGTCTTTTCCCCACAGCTAGCTTCCTCATCCTGTGGTTGACACCCAACACTGCAGGACCTGGGGGGTGCTGGGCAGGAGCCACTCGGAAGTTCTCGTTGGCTGCTTGAATCTCCGCTAAGGTCCTTCGTCGCACGACTGCCTTGGGCGGGTGGTAGTTCCCAGCAAGGCTTTGCACCACCCTGTGCATGTACTGCAGCCTGCAAAGCTGGGGTGCATCTGTTGTGTTCAGCTGGTACAAGATGAAGCTGTTTAGGACAGCTCTTCCGAAGATTGAGAACGCTACCTTTAGAGTCCACTTCAGTGTTCTCCGCTCTGACAAGTACTTGTAAAGCCTTGCATCGCTGAGATCCACACCACCCATTGTGTTGTTATACTTCACCACAACCTTTGGTTTCTGCACCTGCTCACCTCTTCTCACAGCAACAGGTTGGAACCCCCCTGCTACAGCCGTGCTGAGTAAGATTGGCTTCTTACTTCCGTCCTTGTAGACAACACACAACAGTGGGCCTTTGCGACGCTCAGCCGTCTCATTGTTGCGCAACTTTTTCTTGATGGCTTGTTTTGGCAACCCCTTGCGGTTTGCTCGCACAGTTCCTGTGGCCGTTGTCCCTCGGTCATAGAGATCGAAGAAGAGTTCTGGTGAGGAGAAATAGTTGTCAATGCCTAAGTGATGGCCCCTATTCAGAAAGCCACAGGCCGTCAACAACCTCATGACAAGATGGTATGTTGTGCCGCGGTCATCAGCTGGAGGTGCTGCCTCTTTTCCCTTTGTACACCTCCAGGTGGGAAGTATACCCATTCAGACTGTCGCAGACGCACCATAACTTGATACCAACCGTGCATGCCTCTTCTGTGGCATGAACTGTCTTATATGTGGGGTCTTTCCTTTGAACCCGACCATGGACTCATCTATTGAGATGTTCTGACTGGGATGGTAGTGGTTGAGGAATTCTGTGTTGAAGTGGTCGATGATTGGTTTGATCTTGTGCAGTTTATGGCCTGGATCACCACAGGGAGGTTGTTCTTCATTGTTGTTGAAATGAAGGAACTTCACTAGGAGCTGAAAGCGATCTCTGGAAAAATGCTCAACGAACCACGATGTCCCAAAGTTTGGGTTGGAAACGTCCCAGTAGCCCTTCAAGGTCGACTTGGTTACCAGTCCCATGTTGAGAATAAGGCCTACAAATGCACGAATCTCTTCTGGTGTTGTTCCTCCAAACTTTCTCCACTGATTGACAACAGAGTGCGGCTTCTCAACAAGATAATCCCTATTCGCATCAATCCACTGCTGGGCATACCGATTCGTTTCGGTGACAATTCTGTCTATGATCGCTGGGGTGAAATACAAGTCGAAGTACTCGATAGGCCTGGCGTTTCCGGCAGGTGGATGTTTGACGCCTGGAATTGCAGTGAAATGGACAGGAGCTGGACCAGGATCATCTTCCATGACAGGCATCCAAACACCACGTACGTCTCCAGGTCCGCCGTCATGATCATCTTCATCACTGCTATCAGCACTGTCATGGCTGTCACCATCATCGTTGGATGCTGGGGAGAAAATAAAATAGAAAACACAAATGGAGTTGAATTCAAATGTATAGCTGTAGTAGTACATGTATGTAACAAGTTTAGTATTGCAGAATGCAAGGGAAAAAGGTATTGTTTTGTTGTCTAACAATTTCTAGCTGTCATAATAAAAAAAATCCAAAACAGTGTCAGAAGAATAGTACGTAGATATGAAACATACACACAGTTCTGCGAACCTATATTGTACACAAGCAGAGCAAAAATACAAGTGCACACAGATACACAAATAAATAATAATGCAGGCAAAACATCAAATATATAAGACTGAAAACCAATCACATCAGTAGATCAACAAATACAAAAGCAATGGCAAAATACACACCGATAATTGCCAGAGGCTAGATGTGCAGCCCTGGCTGTATGCTTTGAACAAAAACAAAAGAAACAGATAAATACATAACATATCCAAAAAATAAAATTACATAATCCATGTACAAAAAGCACAAAAAAACAGAAGACTACAAATGCAAACTTTCACAGCTGAGAAATTATAGACAACAAGGCAGTATCATACATGTAGTATTCATACAATTTTTATCAAATAATTTTGCAACAATTTCCACCCTCACACATTTTTTTTCCGATAATAGAATAAAATTGCAACATCTGACAAATATATCGTTCTAGTATTCTGGACATCATATAAAGCTGGCAACATATATAGAAACTACATGTAGAACATAAGAAAACAGGTGAGTAATGTGAAACAATTCCGCATTCTTCGTTGTTGATAAACAAACTGTCAGAAGACCGACTTCCGCCCGCCCATGCGCCCACCATGTGCCCCCTCCCCACGACCGTGCCCCATGTATTGGCATTTCTAACGTCGATACAAGGCGGTTATATATGCTATCAAATCGCACACGATGTAAAGATTCACTACCAAGTAACATCTCTACCAATTTTCTTGCATCTAGCGCCGTTTTAGTTTTTCTAAGTACTGCGATAAACACGGAAAACTACCGCGGGACATGTTCTCGTAGGAAGACTTCATATGCAGAGTGCGTATAGCGGCAAAAACTGAACGTGAAGGACGAAAAGTCATGAATTATTAGTCGACCTAGTGTTGTTCATTTTGACACAAAAACATCGGCTTATTTACCTTGCTCGTGTTCTTCTTCAGAGCCCTCTCCCACCGACTCCTCGCTGGTGTATCCCCCAGGCAAGTCGGCATCGTTTCCGTTGTCGGATTCGCTCATATTCTCCCAGAAACTTCGCGCAAAATAGCGCTACAAAGTCAACAAAATGGCCTCTCAAACTGCAGAACACGCGGGAAATTTGTTCTGATTGGTCAATTTTCTTTTCTTATAAGACTTCTGATTGGTTTATTCGTGGAAAGGCTTGCATTGGAGGCTGGTAAAGGCGCGAGATTCAAACTGCGCCCCGATCGTGGCGGCCAGTACCGGAGCGGTAAAGCCACGATCGGGGCAGCTCGTACCGAGAGGGTTAATCATTTATCCTCCCACAGAAACAAACCTTTTACGTTGGTCAGAAGAGCTTTTTTAAATTAGTTGCCACTTTCTGGACAGGAACTCGGGCACAGGTTGCTGTTGTTCTTGTAGGGTGTGTCAGCCTTCGTTCTGTGGCTGATCCGAAATGGCGTGTGACAAACAATCGAGGATCGGTCTTACGAAAATGGTGGAGTTAATTGTCTGAAGCTGGCTATTTGAATATCATTAATATCTATGATTACGATGAAAATCCTATTCATGACGCAGCTCCAGAGATGCATATTTACTTGTTTTTGTCAAAAGTTACGTATTACCAAGCCGCTACTTTTAAAATGTATCGGATTGATGACTTGTATATTGGAAAGTTTCTGCATTGATAGTATGAAAATCATATAATGTGCTCCTGGGATGGGAGCAGGGTTTAAATTCCGAAAGAAACACAAACAAGAAAGTACGAATTTCTGCTGCATTTATTATAGTCACCAAAATATTACGACATCAACACAAGTAGCAAAACATGTAGATAACAAGCTGTCTATAGCTATATCGCCAGATTTCGAAAAACAAATCATTTCAAAGCAAATATATCTTTGTCATATGTGCCATAATTATGCATATCATGTGACTACAAGGTAAGTATTGTGCACCATGTTAGCTGGTTACAAACAGAAGTTGGTACATTAATTTGATTCGTTTTTGTCTCAAAATTGTGTTGTACACATGCAAGATCATATGTTAGCCTTTCATTGTGTGACAATTACACATCCAATCATAGTACATGCAAAACAAGGCTCATGGAAGCGACTCAAATGCTTTGGGTTACTGTACTAGACAGTAAGGGCAGATGTTTGTTGACTTAAAAAGTTTAAGGTTATACTCATATGGGACGTGGTAGCTTATTCCATAGTGATGTTGTTCTAGGAAAGAAGCTTACAGCGTGGAACTTCGTCCTGAGAGGTGGTATATATGAGGAAGAAAGGTTGATTTGCTTCAGTGGAAGCGGCAAGATGTGTCCTCAATGAGAATATCTGAAGCCGAGGCACTAGCCAGTGAAGTTCTGCAGAGCGTTTATCGTGGAAACAGCGATAAAATAACGCCAGGCTTGCAACATTACGCCTGTGAGAGCCTGAAGTTGCAGTGTTTTCTTGTCTTGGTAAATATTAAAAAAAAATCCTTATTGATAGAAGAACGCAAACAATAATTGTATTCTCTGTCACAGATTTAGTTATGATTTTGTTTGTTAGTATTTATAATTGTTTGAGCGCTTCGACGATCACCGCCAGGTTTCCGCGCAGGTACACTTGTAACCCGATATGGTCTCCCCTGACGAATTAGAAATGTAACAGTTCAGCCACGTTATAAGTCAGACCTTAGGTTTGTGGATCTGACATCTGTGTCCGTAATATCACCCTGGGTGTGTACATTTGAGGTGTGCAGGAGTGCACACCAAAAGTATGTTGCAGTAAAAATATCTTAAAGCACACTATTTCTCAAGGTGGCGATATTATGGACCCTGGTGATATTATGGACACGGATGTTAGATATTTCACAGACATTTGACAGATATTTCAGTCAATGGGGGTTGTGAGCTTTGTGTAGGTGGCTATTCCGAGATCAGGGTGCGCCAATGACATCGTGCACTGTTATGCCATTCTTACTCTGTATCTATCGCATTCTGTTGATATGTACGAAACTTGACATACTAATACAGTTATTTTAAAGACAATCAGGAAGAGATTTGGTGTTGAAGAAACCTCTTCACGCTAATATATAACATCATAGGGTGTATTGCCACCTGTTGTTATTGAAGAATGCTGTCATGGAAAGTGCATTATAGTTCTCAGCAAAATCCCTTACCATCATGGCTTCATTGATCTTCAGATGTCCTAGAAATATCCCCATCTCTCTTTGTTGCCACCTAGCCCGAAACTGATGTACTGGAAATGACACGATGGCACTTTCAAGATCTCCCTCAAATTCTCTCAAGCTGGTCACCTTTGTTACACATGACAGACATAGTTGAGGTTTGCCTTTCTTGATCAACTGGATGTACTCACATTTACACCATGTGATTTCTAGAAATTCTTCTCATCTGTTAATTAACAAGGTTATGCGTAGTAACATACTAAGGTTACAGCAGCAGCAAATTTGAAAGGAAGGGTGCCATTTTGTTTCGTTACATTTTGCCAGCGAGTGACGCCGTAACTTTTTAGGAATGATCGTCGAAATCTTCTCATGAATCTTCCTCTTAATTTCGCAATGTCGTACATTAAACTTATTAGCTGACTTACATGTAGATTTTCTTATTCATGCTCGCGACTGGGGTCAGCTGGAAGTGGTCATGATCTAACAGGATGTCACGGGTTCCCGGCAGCTGGCATTGGTCTTGTCGTGGTGGTACGCCTCTTTCTGGTGTGTCCACAGTATGTTTTTACCTCTTGTCTTAAAGCACCTAGCTGTTCCTGCAAGTGTACTTTTCTACAAGTTGTTAATTAGCTTCTTGATGTTGTGCTAGAAAATAAGTATTATACATCTTGAAAAGTTCGAAAACTTTGGAAAAATATTGCTACCTTTACTCCAGTACTCAATGTTGTTGCTTATACTTTTGTTAAGAAGAACAAGAAGAAAACTTTTACTTAAAAATTGTAAATGCAATTATTCTGTTTTCATTCACTGCTATCTTCTTGTTGATGTTAATTGTTCAATTAGCAACTTACTGGCGGGCCCATAATAAAGGAGTAGCTTCCCTTCCCGTAGATGTTCTTGACTGTGAACATTTCTCTAATGGCAATTCTTTAGAGCCAAAATGACACATCACGAAGTCACGGTTAGCCTGCCCTGTATCACACAGATGATTCATGATGTATGATTGAGTGCACACTGTACGTGTAATCAGCTACTTAAGTATATGAAAAAGCAATCTCAAACAGCAATCTCAATAAACTCTCGGTGCCCTATCATAGTATTATCTTGCTCAAACCATGGCTACATACACTGAATGCACCTAATGACATCAATTGTTGAATTCTCTTCAGAATGTGAGAAGCCGTCTTCCCCATGTTCCTTTGGGCCCTAGTAGCTATCTTCCCCATATCTTTCGCAACTTTCTTTGTTGCTATTGGGGAAAAATGACTTAGTACTTAGTACTGAGAATTTGTTCCTCCTATAGCTAGCTAAAAAGGCGCATAACTTAGAAATAATCAGAAATGTCAGCTCAAATTTCTTTCCCTACCATGCCATGTATCGTTTGAATTCTTCATCCCCTTCCCTTTATAAAGCTTGTCGTTCACTTGGAGGTTATCGTGCGCTCCCTCAACAATTTTCAAGCCTAACACATCAAAAAATTAATTTAGTATCTTAGGTACATCTAGACATCTTATTGGGTAACACGCAAACAAGCAAAACACAGACGGCATTGTCTGTTGAAAAGTAAGGCAAGGAAACAGAATATGCATGATTGGTGGTTCTATAGCTAGTGTTGATTATCAAAGATAAAATTATTTCCTTTTTTTCATCAGTCATCACACGCAATGTGCCCTTGGCTTCTCGTGCCTGTGTGCTCCTCTCATTGCCCTTGAAATGGTAGAGATAGCGATCACCTTGAAGTTACTTTAAAAAGGATGAACAGTACAATTGCATATCCAAACTAAAGCTTTGTAATATCACCCAACAAGAAAACTGAAGCAGAGACCGAGTGTGAAAACACCACCAAAAAAATAATAACTTCATGGTTCAAAACAAGTGCATTTTGTATTAGTCTACCAAATAAAATACGTATTAGCCACATGTTTTACCTCATCCCTAGGGCAGAGACAGTTGTATGATCACAGTTCATCACACTATCGTGCCTGGCATCTGTTATTATGACCTGTTAAAATAGATAGCATGATTACTACTGCGGTGTAATAAGAAATTTTGAAGACATCACCTCAGAACAAACTGCCATAACATTACCTATCTATTGTAATATATACCGATCATGTAACATATCATGATCAATGCATGATCACTATGAGAAGGGTGAAAATTGATAGTTGACCAGAGCTGTGAATACAAATCCAAGACTGAAACGTATGTAAACTATACTTCTCCATTGTTCTGCTGGAAGAAGTCTGTTTTACCTCACGACAAGCATGCTCCATTGAGGCAGCTGCGTGCTTGTCCACAAGTGCCGTGTATCCTCTTTTCTCATACACTGTACAATAAAAGCATACAACACTTATTATATATATAACGGAGGGGGCCCTGAATTCGCCACTTTTTTCTGAATCTTTTGTTTTAAAGGCCAATTTTAAGAGCCAAGACACGTTTTGTTTGAGTTGTTGTTTGACTTTTTACAAACGTGTTACCATGGCGATTGATCAAATATCAAGGGCAAAGGTCATGCAAGCTGGCCCTGTACTTCATGTGGCAGTCCGTCTCTGAGGTCCATCTTGTGGCCAAAATCTGTGAATGAAACAAGACATTGTCAGTTTGGAACTTGTGCCAAACACAAATATTGCAGTTATTGGGGCATGCCAGGCTTCTATTTCCTGAAGCAGGTAAAGTTCTACTTGTAGAAATTTGTGTACAGAAGGGAATATAGATATCAATGCTATTTTGTAGAGAATTGCATATTACGTGCAGATTAGCCTGATCATCTTCTGAACTTCTGGTCTGCTTCTTGGCCTTTAGCAGGATGTTTCTTATGTCTTGATCTGTTGGGTGGAATCGACGTCGTGTGATTGGGGGGGGGGGGAGGTTCTCCTCGGAACAGCTCATCCTGCACATACGTCTTTAGGTGACGCTTGATCTCACTCAACTTCCTTGCACCATCCAG